ATCTGCAAACTTTAAAAAAAGGACTGGGGACGTGGCTCAGTGGTTAAACACCCCTGCATTCAATTTCTTTAACCAAAAAATAAAAATAAAAGAAAGAAAGAAATAATAATGGGCTGAAAATATGTTTAACCTCATTGATGATGAAATAAAGGCAAAGTAAAATGATAATGAGAAACCATTTGGCAATTTTTTTTTGCATAACCGTCATTGCTTAGGATTCAGAAAAATGGGCTGTCTAGTGAAAATTGGTATCAGAGTGGAAATTGGTACAACCTTTTCAGAACAATTTGGCAATGTTTATAAAGCATCTTAAAAATACTAACATATTGATTCACACCCCTCCTTCACTAAGGAAACCATCAGGGATGCATACAAAGATTTATATACTACATTATATATTGCAATATAAATTTACAATAGCAAACAATTGGAAATAATGTCCAACATTAATTAAAACAAGATGATAAAGAAACAGTCCAAATTTTAAGTTTTTCCTTTTAAAGTGCATTCTGTTGAAATAAGCCAGTCTCCAAAAAACCAAAGATTGAATGTTCTCTCTGATATGTGGATGCTAACTCATAACAAGGGATGGTGGGAAGGGGAAGAATAGAAGTCCACTGGATTAGACAAAGGGGAATGAAAGGAAGAGAGGGAAATTATTCAAACATAATTTCCTATCCTTGTATATGAATACACAACCAGGGTAACTCCACATCATGTGCAACCACAAGAATAGGATCCTAATTGGAATAAGCTATACTCCATGCATGTATAATATGCCAAAATACACCTTACTGTTATGTATATCTAAAAAAGAACAAATAATAAAAAAAAAGCATTGTACATTCTTCTTCATACTTTTTTTCCCATAATGCTCTTTTTTGTTTTGATTTATTTGTGGTGCTGGGAATGAAACCTGGAGCCTTTCACTTGCAAGTCCTTGTTACCAGTGGCAAAGGCAATCTTCATTTTTGTGTGGCCAGAATACAGAATTATAATACACCACACACGCGTGTGCACGTGCACACACACACACACATACACACAATAGCTCATCACTACTCAATGCAAGCAACACTGAACCAGCTCCAAGATGGGAGGCTGGATCCAATACAGTATCACAAAAGTGTGGAAATTAAAGGCTACACCTGCTGTGAACTTTCCAGCACTCAGAAGTTGAATGAAATAGCCTAGGTGTACCACCTAGACTCTCTACCAGGGCTGCCTTCTCATTTGTATTGCCCAATTCCTTTTCCCTGCCCTGTTTCCCCATAAACTGCCCAACCACTCAACCAGGGCCCTACAGATAATCCAACTATCCTGCTATGGCAAGCCTTCTGCCAGGATATGCTGCCTGTGTTTGCTTGCTCCATCCTTTCTACCTTTACTAGATATCCAACTTCTCTGAAAACAGTTCTCTGCCTCTGAAAGCTACAAAACCCAAAGGCATTATCAACTATTGCACTATACTCCACAAATATGTACAATTACTGGATGCTAATTTAAAAATAAATGCTGATTTAAAAATCTTTTTTAAAAAGGCAGTGACCCTCTGCTCTTAAGAGTTGCAAAGGCTCTCTAACCCTGTGGACTGCCCAGCCTCTGTTTAACTCTTGGCTATGTGTCAATTGCCCAGCCTCTCTACCAGGTGGCACTATCATTATGAGCTGCCAACATCCTCTCCTACCAAGAACAGATCTCTTAATGTGTTCCTCATCAGCCTGTGACTTTCAGCCCCTGGGTAAAAAAAGAATGGCTCTGTTCACTAATTTCACATTCATCTAGAAATGAAGAAAGCAAACTACCACACAAACTTTCTGGGTTCTGTCTCCCATTTCTTCTGTGCTTTGCCCTAATCCTTCAATACCACACAGGTAAGGGCCCAGAGGGCCCTGTGATCATGGGATACTAGTTTTCAGAATCCAAAGGAGGTAGTCAACACAGTATCTTTCCAGGAGTTCCACACTATATTTGGGTAAAACCTGGCTGACAAGGGTCAGTGAAAAAGTAACAGAAACAGACCAGAATCCCTAAGACAGTCTCCCAAATTATCCAACTTGTGAAATCTTCCACATGAGAATATACTTAAAACCATATCCTGGGACAGATCAAGAGTAGAGCAGAAGCTGCAGTTTTCCCCATGCAGGGATGTCATTGAGCCTAGAATTAAAATGTGGCTTTCTAATGCCACGAATTGCACTGCAGAATCAAACTACTGTCAACACAGGAGGCAGGAAATGAAAGAGGACTTACTGTGAGAACACACAGATGACGTCTCCTTCAGTCAGTTCATAAGGAAGCCCTCCTAGAAAAGAAAAACACATTACAGTTCAACAAACACTAACCAAGTATTTACTGTGTATTATGCACTAGGCCAGGCACCAGAGGTACAAAACATAAGCTATACACCTTCCCCTCACAGTAAAACAGTCTGATGGAATGACACAAATATATACAAGGTGGCAAATGTACAGGAAAAAAAAAAGTGATTGAGTGGAAAGGCTCAGATCACTGCAGACCAAACTAATCTGATCATTCTTTCCTCCTCACATCCAAAGTCCTACAAAGCTGATATCTCCATCACAAAACTCTGCTTCCACAAATATCACCTTAAATGTGTCATTATCAACCCACCTATACATATAATGAGGATCATAAAGATAACTGTTAAGCATTTCATAGGAAATCATTTCCCTTCCAAATGTTTTACTCATCTGTAAAATGAGAAGTATACTTGCCTCATGAGATCACTATTACAAGAATTAAATAAAACAATGCATATAAAGTGGTTATCACAATGTCTGGTGCAATAACCTCTCTGAAGAGTAAAACTGCAGAATTACTGATTAAAGGCTACACCTTCTGTGCACTTTCCAGCACTCAGAAGTTGAACGAAATAGCCTGGGTGTACCACCCAGATTCTCTACCATGGCTGCCTTCTCATTTGCATTGCCCAATTCCTTTTCCGTTAACTTTTCTGTACCTCAGTTTCCTCAGCTGTCTAGTGGGTGGGTGTGAGGAACATAACTGTTTCTGAGAAACCAAGTGGCAGGACTTAGCACTGTGAAGGGCAAATGGTAACACACAGGAACACTGACTGGCAGGGAAAGCACACTAAAATGAGCGAGAGAAGATGGAAAACGGATTCACAGGCAGAACATAAAAGTGGGTGATGAGGGGCTGGGGCTCAGTGGTAAAGTGCTCGCCTAGCACATGCGAGGCCCTGGGTTCGATCCTCAGCAGCACATAAAAATAAATAAATAAAATAAAGGTATTGTGTCCAACTACAACTAAAAGATAAATATAAAAAATAAAGGTATTGTGTCCAACTACAACTAAAAAATAAATATTATTTTTTGTTTTACTAAGAGTGGGTGATGAGTGTGAGGAGAAACATTGGGCGGGACTGCTGAAAAGATCAGAAGCCGGCCAGGAGAGACTTCCAGAAAAATGTGAAGCTCACCCAGAAAGATCCAGGCGCTGTCTTTGTACTCGGAGTGCCAGGACACCTTTTCCGCCACCCCAAGCTGGACCTCTCGCTCGTTCAGCTCGTTGATCAGCTTCACTTTAGTTAAAGGACTACACGGAGGGCGGAAAAGGAAAGTAAGTTTGGTCCGGCCCGAATTCACAGAGAGCAAAACTAGGCGACTAGAAACTCTAGTCTCCTCTGAAACTCCCTTGCCCCTCGGCCCTGCAGCCACTCACTCTACCGTCCCAGCCCCGGTGGGCCACCCACGGCAACCCACTCCCTCTTTCTGAGAGGAAAGCTGAAACCTTACTTCATCTTCACAAATTCGCGCTCGACACCCGCGGATTAACTTCCGGGCAAAGCTACACTCTGTCGCGCATGCGCATCTCTAGCGCATGCGCCTATCTAGGATTTGGCGCCTGCGCCGCTCTAGAGCAAGCACAGCGCCCCCCACCCCCCGCGCGGCACGTTGGAGTCTGCGGAACTGGCGCCGGAAGAGTTCAGCAGAGGCTGCCGAAAACCGCGGCGCCTGTGCAGTAACGCGAAAGCGGATCTCCACGCTTGGTGGCGTTCGTTCCTCTCGAGAGATTTTCCCTAGTTCATCGCAACTTCCCTCTTTGATGCGAAGCTAGGGTTTACAAGCTTGGTCCGTTACAGGACCCTCCAGCTTTTACATAATTCCAGGCACTGATTGATTTAGTACTAAATTTTTGCTGAATGAAAGTTGAACAAGGTACTTGATGCGGCTTTATTCCTGGTCTAAAGCTCCACTTGGGTCTTCAATCCCAGTCAGTTGCTCAAATACAATTCCATCAAAGCATTCATTTTCCGGAGTTAGGGCAAAAAAGTGAAGAAGATAGGTGGGAGAATCAAGTTTTTGTTATCTCTCAAATCCCAATATATAGGTAACCTACAGTGTGCCTCCATAGTCTGAATTCAACACCCGCAGGTTGTTGTCAGAGCTCCAACGCTTACATTTTACCGTAGTCTTTCTCTTAGTGGAACAGGAGGTAGAAATTAATATTGTTAATAGCTCCCAATTGGGCAGACAACCAGCTAAAAGATACTAAATGAGCTAAGCAATTTACATATAGTTTCTCCAACCTTACAATCCCATGAAGTAGATGCAATCACTATCCCCATTTTATAGAGAAAAAAATTGAGGTTCAAATGACTAGCTTGAAAGGTACTTTGTACCCATGAAGCCAGATTTAAAGATAGGTAGTTAGTGTAGTTAGGTAAATCAGGTCTAATATCAAGTATGTTAAAAAAAAAAAAAAAAGGAGACCATTATCGAGAATAGAGTCCAGGAAAGCTGAGCAGCACTTGGGGAAATTGAAATGTTAGTGTCCCCAAGGCCTGGAGCCCATCCTAAGGAACTGTTAATGAATGAGCTTCCAGCAAACAAAGAAGTGTTAATCAAACTACCCCAGGCCCTTTCTGCCCATGAAATAGTCCACTTATCTCCCACCTTTTGGGCTTCCCACCTGCATTCTATCACTGCAGGATAAAGGGAAACAAAAGACATGAATGTGGGAAGACTAAAAGAAGATATTAGCTATAAAAAAGGGAAGACTTCCCCCTTCCATGGATTCTGTCTTTCAGGTCCGGGAGAAGTCTTTTCTGCTGTCCTTTAATAAAGCCTTCCACTTTCCTCTCTACACTTGCCTCAGCTTGCTTCTCTGATGTTATACTTCAGCATTAAGAGAAGCAAAGACTCATCACCAGTATACAGTGGTAACACCCATCAGACCACATCCATTTGATCAGTCCTTACTGAGTATCTATACATATCTTCTTCACTTTTTTACCCTAACTCTGTCCTCTTCAGCTAAGTTCTGTAGAAAGAACTATAAGAGTGGGTACTCTACATTTAAAGAGCTAATGATATAAGGGGTAAATATATATTTCTGCTTCATGTATTTCACCCCAGAAATACCCAGGAATCAGCAAAAGAAATGGTGACATATAATGTGTGATTTAAACCATATTGAAGATTTGAGTCCATCTTTCATGTGTGCACAGCATTATGTGTTCTTGGACCACAATGTTTTCAAAATGAAGATTCAGAACTCTAGTTCTCTGTATAGGCCTAGCTCAGAGCACCAGATAGTAAGCCCTTCATAAAAGCATTTTGATTGATTACAATCTGTAACCACTATCCTGCCAAGAATCAGAACAGGGACTGTCCTTCTCCTTCCCCCACTCCCACCCAGCTATTCATTAACTTTGAAGAATTATCTTGGCAATGAAAATTAAACAGTGACAGATTGCATTTGAGTTTTATCTGCTCCTAGGAATCTCAGGTTGCTTAGTTGATAGGGTTGAAGTGGCCATTGCAAGGTAGTAAGCTACCACATAGCATTATCTTGCTGGTTTCTTCAGTTGACTGTGAAATAAGAGGGCTATATGCCAGGGCTCAGTCATCAACATCTGGAAAGAAGATGGAGCAAATAAAGAAAACACCAACCAAAGCGAAGGACAGTTTAGACTGTTAATATGAGAAGTCTACTACTATCCTACCAGCAGATTCAGCTGAAGTATTCTGAATCTGGGAGCACTGAAAACTATCTCAGTTTGCCTGGAACTGAGGGGTTTCCTGGGACTCCCAACTATCAGTGCTAAAATTGCCAAGCCCAGAGAAAAGTGGGATAGCTGATCAGCAGGAAGAACCTGAAGTAAAGAAAGAAGCAAGGAAGTCAAATTCTTCAGAGATGTGCTTTCAATTAGTAGGAATTGGTATGGAAATGATGATGATAAATATCTATAAATCTGAGTTGAGAAGGAATAGGGATCCAAAGGACTCTCTGAATTTATGTAAGAGAAGGAAGAGAGTTTGTCATCAAGATGACTAGTAGTGATCTCCACCGAAAACTTTCATTTAGCACTTACCGTATGCAGAATTAAGTTCTAGCTCCTCTGGGCACTCTTAAGGAATACAAAGGCAGTCCTCATATTCAAGAAAATGCTGAACAATTTGTCCTCTCACCACTTCCTAACACCACACCACTTCCTAACACCACACCACACTTTTTCCTCCTGATTTTCATATTTTGGGTAATGTAATCATCATTTCTCCCAGTCTCAAAATCATGGGTGTCATATTTCAGTCTTTGCCATTCCTCACCTCAAAATATTCATCCTGGGTTGGGGCTGTAGCTCAGTAGTAAAGCACTTGCCTCACATGTGTGAGGCACTGGGCTCGATCCTCAGCACCACATAAAAATAAATAGACACTTTTGTTCATCTACAACTAAAAACAATATTTTAAAAAATTCATCCTATCATCAGTCCTAATAATTGCACCACTGCAGTGTACACCTATAACAGCCTCAGTCTTTTCTCTTACTGCTCTGGCACACAAAGCCTCAGCCTCACCCTCAGCCAGGATCCACTTCTATACATTCCTTATGGAGCCCTTTCATTACCCAACCTAGACATCCCTCGGCCACACACCTCCTCTCTCTGACTGAAACCTGCCCAAACCCCATCAAGTCATTTCTTTTGCAGGAGACCGTTACTGACTTCCCAGTTCCCAGTGATGACTTCTACTTCTAAATTCTGCAGAATTTAAAAAAAAAAAAAAAACTTCTTCATATTCTCCCCCAGAGAAACTGTGAGATCCTGGAAGGTAAAGGCTCTGCATTTATATGCCCCAAACACCTCAAACCTCACTTTCCTGCAGACATAGCATGCATCCAATGAAATTTAAATTAATTAATGAAATTTAAAAATGCACACAAGTATGGTTACCTATGGGAAACAGATGAAGGTAGGAGATGCTTTTATTTTCCCGTTGTTCCTATCTATACTATTAGAATATTCTGATATTTATCTAGATATCACTTATTTTTTTATTTAAATGGTACCTTGGCCGTGTTCATGCCTTTTCTTTTGTCTTTCATTCATATAATATTTAATGGGTAGCTATTAAGTGCCAGATGACATTCTAGGTTCTGGGGTAATAATAGTGAACATGACAAGCAAATCCCTGTCCCCATGGAGCTTTCATTCTTGCTGATGAAGAAGGAAAATAAACATATAAATATAAGTCCAATGTTGATAAGTGCTATGAAAGAAAAATGAATTAAGCTAATTGGAAGAGTGGTAGGATGTTACTATTTTATAAGGGAAGGAGTTTAGTCAAGGGTAGCCTCCCTGATAAAAGTAACTTGTGCGTAGAGACGTAGAGATGTGCAAGATTTTGGAGAGCAAGCCATGGGGGGCATTAGAGAAGAGTGTTCCAGGCAGAGGGAGCAGTAAATCCAAACTTGCTGAGATTGGACTGTATTAAGAAACAGCAAAGAAGCCAGTGTGGCTGGAAGTGTGGGCAAGAGTGAGAATGATAGGAGGTTTATGTTTGTTTAACAAAGTCTTATTTAGTACCTATGATGGACCAGAAAATGTTCTAAGTACTTTGCATATATTAACTCATCTACTGTTCAAAACAACCCTACGAAGTAGATACAGTAGATACGATTGTTAACATTTAGCAGATGAGCAAATGGAGGCACGGTGAACTTAAGTTGCTTGTCCTATGTCACACCACTGGTAAATGGTAGAGGCAGGATTGGAATCCAGGTATTATGGCTACAAAGTCTGCACTCTTGACCACAATACCCAGAATAACTGATAGTAAGGGGAGCAGATTGGGCAGGGCCATGCTGATAAATGTCCTTGGACTTTATGAAGTGGAAAGTTACCAAAGGACTTTGGTCAGACTTACATTTAAGCAGGATCACCTTAGCTACTGTGCTTTCAACAGACTGGGGGTGGGGTGGGAGTGCAGGGGAATACCTAGAGTAAAAGCAGGAAGACCAGTTAAGAAGCTCTGCAATACTACAGTGACACAGCCATATCAATATTTATAGTAGCACAATTCAAAATAGCTGAACTATGGAACCAAACTAGATGCTCTTCAACAGATGAATGGATAAAGAAACTGTGGAATATATACACAATGGAATATTACTCAGCCTTAAAGAAGAATTTATGGCATTTTTCAGTAAATCAATGGAACTGGAGAATATTATGCTAAGCAAAATAAGCCAATCCCAAAGAACCAAAAGCCAAATGTTTCTCTGATATGAGGATGCTAATTCACAATAAGGGCAGCAGATAGAATAGAGGTAATTTGGACTAGATAGTGGGGAATGAAGGAGGGGAGGGGACATGGAGGTAGGAAGGATAGTAGAATGAATCTGACATTAATACCCTATGTGTATATATGATTACATGACCTGTGTAACTCTACATCATGTGTAACTCTACCAGACGAATGAGAAGTTATACTCCATTTACATATTATGGGTCAAAATGCATTCTACAGTCATGTATAACTAATTAGAACAAGTAAAAAATATATTTTAAGAAAGAAGCTCTGCAATAATTTAGACAAGA